TTGGCTGTTGTGAATTTTTTTTTGGTTTTGGTTGTACAGTACTCGGGAGGTGCTCTATTAACTCTGAGACCACTTCAGCCTCATTGCTAAAGTATCTTGAATTTCATATGCGAATGAAGAAAAAAAACCAAATTTTTTAATAAAATCACATCTTCGAAATGAGCTCTTCCCTCATGCCATGGCATATTTTGTTTTTGCGTTCTGTCACAAATACTGCAATCTGGTTGACTACGCTACTCGTTACCTACTTCATGAGAGATAGAGAGGACTGAGTAACCTAAGCACGTGAGCTTGTACGCTAATAAAATTGATGTTAAGATATGAACGTCTGGTCACGAAACTTACCAAGACAATTAGACTATTAGCTCCTTATTTATATGCGAGATAGATGACTCGAGCTTGAGGCTCTTCAAGTGTTACATTATAGAAAACTTTAAGATCTTAATCTTATTGTTAATTAACTAGTTCTCGTATAAAACTTATTTATCATGCTTGATTATCAATTGGTACATAACATGAATGAATCCAGGCAGAGGTATTAAGGCTTATAAGAAACTGGAAAAATGATGATCAAAACTTAATAGCTGGAATGAAAATCCCAAAAAATCCGCTAAAAATTAAGATTTAAGATGAGGTTTATATGATGCAGCCTGAGTGCTAAGTATATAAAGAGTCAAACACCACAAAGACCAACTGCCACACCGAAAGAATATCTGAGCTAAATCTGGATCCTGAACGGATCAAAACCACCTTTCAATTATTCCCGAGGGAAGTAGTTAAAAACAGTTGACTTAATCTTTTGCTCTTACCGGGTTACTACATGTTTCCTTGCTAATAAGCAATTATTGGATGAGGTTGAGCATGTTATCATGAATTCTTGAGAGAGAATATAATCTCTTGGAATTATTAAAAACCAAGGTCGGAGATTTCTGCCGATGCCGGCACAAGACACTTCTCTCTGAGTTTGCAAAAGTTTAAGAACACTATACAGACGAGGGAATTGGAAACTAGGCAGAACTTGAACTCGACATGATAACCAATATCTGCAGATATTGAGTTATCATGTTAATTTCGCACGCTATTCTATATTGACTGTATGCTCTCGACCAATCAGAGTTCTCATAGTAAGTCTAATTTATAGTAATAGTCAATTATTGAATGAGGTTGAGCATGATGTTGCTCAATGTTGAAGCCGAAGGTTGACGCGGAAAACTCAAACACGAAGTTTAAAAAATAAACAATAGTCTCTATTTGGCGTGAAAAAATGCACGGAAATTTGTCCGCGGACATTATCTGTTCCAAAACTGAGCTTCGAGGAACAGACAATGTCCAAGGACAAATATACGATCATATTCGAAAGACAGAGGCTATTATGTTTATTATCCTTTGCATATTTTGCAACGAAATTGAAAAAACTTTGATTGACAGCTGACAGTTTGCTGTGGATATCTTTGGATATCCTACAGTTTTAGGGAAATATTCTGTCACGTGATGCGTTCAGACCAATCTCGCGCAAACGAAAATATTTGATAAATCATAATTCATGAAATAGAGTGAGACCGAATTCAATAATTGTTTTATGAAATGTAATCGATGGGTGGTGATAAAAAGAAGAAATTTTATTAGCACAAGCTGACTTATTTGTGCAGTTTAATGCGAGGATCACTTGGTTATTCAATGACCAACTTAGCGACCTCTACTGATGTTTCATCTTCTTCCTTGTAGATACCTCGCTTATCTTGGAGGCAGTCATGAAGTGGGACAGCTTGACATTGTTCACCCGCAAAAGAATTTGAATGATGGCAAATGGCACAGTGTAACTGTACTGCAATACGGTCGAAAGGCGGAGATTTATGTGGATTCCGTAAAGAATTTTCAAATTACGCGAGAAGTATATAAAGATTTTGGTTTAAAGAAGGTTTACGTAGGTGGAATGAGTCTTCGTGAATACAGGTCTTATGTCTACTCGAAATGTCCAAAGCTAAACTTTAGGGGTTGTATAGAAGACTTGACATTCCGTGGTAAAAACATTATTGAAGAGTTTGAACAAGATCCTCACCCTGGATATGATCTATTTGGACAAGCGTCGTTTAAATGCAAGGAAATCGACTATCGTGTTGTAACCGTGAGTAGCCCCAATGAAGGCTTCAAGGTGACTGTCAAAAAATTACCGATAGATAATGACACGTTTTCTGCCAGCTTTCGATTCCGCACGCACGTCGAGAAAGGTCTTCTTCTATCACGAAGCGCTATCAAAGTCAAGTTACACATCCGTCTGTCCGGTGGCTCTTTACTTTATGACGTCATTGCTCCCAACGGATCAAGGACTGAGCTGGCCATAGGCACTAATCTTGACGATGGAGAATGGCACAGTGTAAACGCAAGCATCCGGGGAAAAGAAGTTCGTCTTCTTGTGGATGCTTAAACTAGAACAAAACCATTAAATCATTCTCTTTTGATGCAGGAATTCTCAAACAAGTCTCGTTTAAAGATATTTCTTGGGGGCTACGACCAAGAAAAAAGAATTTATCCTGGTTTCGTTGGTTGCTTCCTAAATTTACAAATAGACAGTCAAAAGATATCTTTACAGAATCTCAAAATTAGTAAACACACCCGAGATGACCCGAGATATGTTTGCGGAATATTAAATCAGTGTCAGCCGAATCCCTGCAAAAATGGTGGTAAATGTTCTCAGGATTGGGAACGTTTCCATTGCGACTGCACCTATACTCAGTTCGAGGGAGACAAGTGTGAAGTGTCCAAGTACAGGCCAACCTGTGAATTTTACAGGTCCCTGGGATTAAAGAAAAGCGTGTTGTGTTTGCTAGATTCGCAAGGAGACGGGAAAACTTACACAGCGTTTTGTAATATAACAAGCGAAAGAAAGCGCACCTACACTGTCATAACTCACGACAAAATGAAGAAGATTCGTGTGGGCAATACTTTTTATAGGATGAGTTCGTATTATAAACATCATGTTACGTATTCCGACTCGATTGAAATGGAACAAATCACTCAACTGATAGAGAGAAGCAAGGAGTGCCGGCAACACATCCGGTTTCATTGCTTTACTTCCAAACTTCTTAACACGCCTCGCGGACCTTCACACGCGTTTTGGTTATCACGTAACGACTCGAAACAGGAATACTGGGGAGGAGCTGAGCCCGGAAGTAAGAAGTGCGCATGCGGTAGTAAAAAGCCTCCTTCTTGTGTGGGTCCGGGAAAGATGTGCAACTGTGACAGCAAGGATAATCATTGGAGAGTTGACGAGGGGTATTTGACAGATAAATCTTCTCTTCCCGTCAGAGGATTGTTATTCCATCAGAAAAGTGAGAAATCGGATTTTTCACTCGGCCCACTGGAATGTTGGGGTAATTCCTATCAAAGAAAAATTCCTCAAAAACCAAGTGACCGCACGAACAATGAGATTTTAGCTCTGGCTTGTCCGAGTTATCATTATAAGGAGTCCACGAGTTCGTCCACTCGGCCTGACTCACCCACTGCAACTCTTAGATCGCCGACAGTAAGAAGTCGGTGTCCCAGCGAAGAAAGGTGCTTAAACTCGTCTTCTACTTCGGTATTGATTACCACTAAATCGCCCACTGTGACGCCAGAAATGATTAGACAGGAGGAGGTTTGGGATGAAGGAGAAATTTCAACTATTGCAATTGTTATGATCTCCGCAGCTCTGGTTGTCATAGTTTTGCTCTCAATGAAATTCGCCCTTCCACGTGTTATCATGTGCATTCGAACTCATAGTAAGCGCGGTGAATACATTGTCCCCCCTAGTGGATCGTCTGGATATACGGCAAGATTACTACCTATTGTGGCCAAAAAGTCGTCCATCCGGGGAAGGCAGCTAACACAGCACAGTGGAAATGGCAAGTATGTAGAGGGCAATGCAGCGGCTGGGCTCAAGTCATATTGGGTGTGAATATGACTTTTATTGACTGGAAATGAAATAACTGAGTCGAAGACCTGTGATGATGAGGAGTAGAAAGAATTCTCAGACTGAACAACACGCTAAAACTGCGCCTGCGCCAATGAGATCAATATTTAACGAGTGCATTTCGGAAGTAAGGAACAATTTAGTGAGTGTCTAAATTGCATGGAGTACAGTCGGAACGTTAGTCCCAGTTCCTACTCTGTAGAATAAGATAAGAAAATTTTTATCAATACAATATCTTTACAATGGCGTATAATACACATACTTTTGAAAAAGGAGATCATCAAGGCCGGAAGTTAAATTTATTAGTATTCATGGATGTAAAGTAAGTGAAAATAAAATTATATAATGTAATGTACTATTAAAGCTGAACTATTAAAATGCGCTATGCTGCATTGTGTATAAGGATCGACAACGGTGCTGTTGTTTTCTTCTCTGGTCAGGCTTCACTTACAGCCGAGGGAGGACCTCAAGCTTCCAGTAGCGAAAACCGAACAAACACGTTTTTGCAAACTTGGGAGATTGCAAGGGATTGAAATGTCTTTTCAGTTAAAAGACCTGAGGCAACAATCTTTTTTTAACTCCTAATGGTCCATCTATCCTGACCGTTTTGCATAGAATGAAGCCATCGAGAATTTTTCTTCCCCCCCCCCCCGGCCACATGATGTTCATGGATCTACGAAAGGTCAACACTGCACTTTAATCGTAGTTTGCAGCGTATTAAGGGGAACTGGGCACTTTGAAGGCAGTGTCCCACTTGAGAACGCGATACAATGACCCTCGGTCCATAATTAAGCGCGTCAAATAGTGTAGACATTTAGCCACCTTGTCCCCTTCTGGCAAAGAAGTCAATGTCAAATTTTTACCAGGACAACTGACACAAGGAAAATTCAATCAAATTAAGATGTGTGATAATTATGGGGGGAGTGGGGAGGTGAGGAGCTCGTAACAGGGTTAGGTTTCGAGAGCACGATTGAGCCAAACACTCCGTTAAAATTTTGATTTAGTTTTGTAGCTTTTACAAACAATTTTATTTACTGTATTTTTTCGGCCTTTCAATTTTGTCCTACGGTTAGATAATATTGCATAAAAAGTTGGCCAAAAAAATGAGAAGTTTAATTTGTAATCCTCAATAAACGTGTACCGCTTTTCAAACGATCGGCCCTTTATGTTTAACTTTCAATTTTACGTTATCACAATTAAAAATGAGGAAGAAGACAATTTACTTGATACCTTTACTTAATTACGTTATCACGTCGCACAATACAGCTATTACAGGATGCGGAACTTGCCAATCAGGAGTAGATACAAAAAGTGAAGTTGAAGCAATCAACTGTTTTAAAAAGTAGACTGAGACGCACAAAGAAAAATTTTAAGTAAAGAGTGCAAGGTCATTATCTCGTGGGTGGTATCAGTTAAAATGGACTTTTGAGATCAACACCAGATAAATTTAGAGGTGCAGCAGTTTCAACAAAACTGTGATTTAAATTTTTATTACAGAGTTGCATGGTTTACGAAATCCGCGAAAGAAAATGATCGTGAAATGGAAGCATAGAATGACACGTTATCGATAATTTCTCAAAATTGAATAGGGGTCAGCCTATTGATTGGCAAAAGACCATATCCGTAGCGAAACATTTAAAGAAGATATGATTGATAACAGGCAAACAAAAAGCGATATTTTACCGGTAGTTTTCAGCACTTTCGTGAAGATACGACTTAGTTTATCTGCTGTGTCGAATTGGAAATGACAATCATTATTCAAAATAGCTCCGAATGACTCAAGAGTGGATCGGTAACACAAATTTACATGTGCATAACTGACAAAAAAAAAATGTTTGACACCAGCTGTTTTCAACGCTACCTTAAATCCGTAAATTATCTTACAAAAATTATCCGTAAATTATCTTACAGCGTGGAAACTTGTCGGCAAAACCAAAGCTGGGTTTTGAACCGTTTAACAAAAACTTCATCATTACTCTTTTGAACTTGTTTTATCTGTAACAATGATAATTCTACTAAAATTAACTTATTCGAAAAAGATTTGGTTGATTACGCTGACTTCCTATACCTACCATTATTGTGAACAGTCATACGGCAAGATCTAGCTATTATGAGTACTTATAAGAACATATCAACAGTTCATATTCTCTTGCTGGTTCTTAATGATACCACCATCCAACAGTTCAAGCATGTCCTTTATAACCAGGTCGTTTGCTACGTTTTCCAATCAGTTTAAGCCGAGGATAATTTTTCACTATCGTTAGGTAATTATTTACCTTACAGCAACTTTTCTTTATGATAATTTCAACTCAAAGCAAAGGTCCTTGGCCTCTTACTTTCATGTTATCCCACTGCTCGGATACTTCTTAATCAACCTACAGAAACCCTCATGAATTTGTCCGGCTTAGGCAGAAGTTTAAACGAAAATATTAAGAGTGTGATAGGTGCAGGCATAGCATTTTGGGACAGACTGCTGATCGTTTTGGAACAATTCTCACAAGTTTTAACTTTTTCCAGACCATTGCATACTACCCCAGCAAAAAGCTGATACAAAAAAGTGGAGAAAAAAGTGATTCCAGGGGTTCCTTTTATTCTAATCCAACTCTGGAATGTGTGTTTCCCTGCCAGATGTTCGCACGCGGTCTGTTGCAATATTCGTGTACACTCCGGCCACCATCGCCCTTTTGTTCTATGTGGTTTGTTGTCGATCGTGAGAAGTTCCTTATTACGCAATCCTGAGCCACAACAGCAAATCCTCCTCATAAACCTCAAATTATTTGTGCTTGGTCAAAACAAAATTCTTCTATCACAGCATAAGTCAAACTTCATGGACAAAGTCAATCTAAAATATTCCTGTGAAAATACCAACGATAATAATTAAAATGAACAAAAAAACAAGGGAAGAAAAAGAAGGTAAGGAGGATGAAGTTTTAAAGGGATAATCCCTCTTTCCACTCAGTACTTCCATGCCGCCTGAAAAACGCTTTAGTAAGTGCCCTACGATTGGCCCACTTAGCGGGCCGTATTTCATGTACGGCATGTTAAACTTGAAAAGTTTTTTTGAATTGAAATCTTTCCCCTGTAATGGAAATCAAAGATATGACCAAATGTTCTCGTTTTTCCGTTCGGAATTATGGCCACACACTTCGCACTTAGGCCATAAATCCGTGCGGGAAGAACTATTTATGTAACTAACACTACAGACCTCGAACACGGTTAGTCAGAGGTATGCAACTAGTGGGGGCGAAAATTAAAGTAATGATTCGGAAAACTCTTTAAAATTAGGATGATACTTTAGTATCTTATGCTTTCCGCCGGTCGACAAGTAACCTGGGCTTTATGAAATTAAAGTAAACTGAATGGTTGAAATTAAAGCTCTGAAGGTGAATTGTGTCTCTGATAAAGAAGAAATACCTTGATATCCAGTCTGAATTCAGAGCTTAGAGGTGGAAGCTGAAAAGGACACATATTTTCTGACATGCGAGTCTCGATGTACCGAGTGGTAGACTGTGGCGCCGTTACTCATATTGTAGGCCCCAACCTCCATCGTGCCGTGCCCCATCTCATCCAGCTGGACCACATCCGGTGAATCCGTGCGAACCGAGTGGCGATACACCTCAATATCTGGGATATTCTTGTTCCTTCTGCAGCTCTTACAGGAAATGCAACACACATACCTGCGACCAGACCGCTTCAGGAAAACGAAGATAAGCACACAAATGAGAAGAATGAAGGCCAATACGGACGAGGTTACCAAGATTATAAACCTTGCATCGTAAACCACTCCTCCTTCAACCCGCGTGATGTAGTCAATGCTACTTCTTGTAATAACAGTCACGTTGCGGCTCCTCTTCGGTTCGTCTTCCATTGGCGTGACAGGAGGCAGCGTGACAGTCTTTCCTTTGGTGGTGATGCTTGTGTGCACTGTCAGGCCAGATTTACCTGTGGTAATGGAAGAATGTACTGTCACACCAGTGCTCTTGGGTTCGTGAGTAAACACTGACGTCACCAGGGTTGAGTTTTTATTCGTTGCGATAGTGGTCGTCATGGTAACGTGATGTTTAGGGGAAGACAACGAATTTCTATTGTTACCTGGACTTTTTGTGGTAGTGCTGTCGGTTTTTTTTATCTGCAGCCTGGGAGCAGTGGATGGGCCAGTGGTTGTTTCAATATGTACTGTCGGGGGCGGGTTGACCAATTTGCAAGCGGACGAAATAAAGTTCGCATTGCTCACTACTTCGGGAGCGCGACCCCCGGTTCCAAAGCACTCTAATGGACCAAGCGTGAAGAAAGAGTCCTTGGCATCCGAATTGAACTGCAACATATTCACTGGTAATGATAATTTGTCGTCTAAATAACCTGTAAAGCAAAGATCACCAAGGACGTGAATTTGTTTCAGAAGATGTGAACTGGAATTTGAGCGAAAAGAGTGATTTAGTCTTCAAAAATTAAATTAGTTAGTCCTTGGGCCGATATAAATTGAATGCATCTTTAAATATCAAAAATAATGTAATACAATAGTTTCTGGAGGGTCTCTTCTCTCATGTCTAAGAATGCTGCGAACGAAGCCGCGTTAATTTATTTTGTTAGGTAACTGGGCCTGAATGCATGCAACGATACCCATAGCAATGCCGCTGAATTCTACTTACCAGAGTCTTCCCTCCACCGGTCATTGCTGTCGGCATCACAGTTACAATATTTTGAAGGATCTGTACAGCTGTTCGTCTCTCCACATGCGCACTTGCCACTTCCAGGCCTCGCACCTCCCCAGTAATTTTGTGGAACAGCAGTACTCGATAACCATTGCACATTCTCAGGACCAACGGGAGAATTCAACAGTTTTGAATTATAACAGTGATAACTGATGTACTGGCGACAGCTTCCGCTACGCTGAATCAATGCACGGATGCTGGCCAGGTCAGTTCCATACTTAATGGGTTGAAAGTAATAGCTTTCGAGGTCCAAGGCACCTTGCGTTACGGGATATTTACCCTCCTTGTCGTGGTGTATGACTGTCTTGGCTGCATCAGAGGCTGTCATGTTGCACAACACTTCAAAGGCCCCTAAAGGTCCAGTGCCATCAGGATCCACTTTGCAATACGCATCCTGGACCATACCTAATACTTTGTACTCGTGGCATGTGGCACGGTAAAGAGGATCCTCACATTGGCTTCCTTTGTAAAACGTCCCTTCGCAGTCACAAGTGTAAGCTTCCCATGTCTGCAAACAGCGGCCACCATTTTTGCAAGGATTTGGAAAACACTTACTGGTAATTTTGCATTGGTCAATGACCGCCCCGTTTACACGGGAGCCGGACAATCCTTTCAAATTTACTAATTCATCGTTCAGCTTTATTTGGTACATGCAGCCAACAAATCCATCGCTACGTGTTCCGTAGCCAATGTAAACACGACTTCGGAAATCACCCATTCGTTCCAACAAGGGGTTTTCATGACGAAGCTCTGGCTTGGAATCTATCTTCAACCGAAGCTCTTTGCGCGTTGCTCCAGCCATGACGTAATGCCACATCCCATCATTCAAATCTTCCCCAACACTGATTTTGACCGGTTTTTCAGTTCCCACAATTATTTCAAGTTCAAGCTTGCTTGATACTAGGGAAAGGTAGAGGCGTGCGCTAGAAGTTTGTTTGTAAACCAAAATACCTTTGCCGTAGTAAGTGCGAAAGTTGAGTTCCACTGTAAAATTCTTAGGAGAGGCCTTATTGAGTTTCAAATGCGTATTTGGGGTTGGAAAATTGACCGGAACGTACCCGTTGACTGGACAGTAGAAGCGCAAGAAGCCATGAGTTTCGCACTCAATAAGGTCAACCTTGGCACAAAATAAAATATCTTTAAAATCAAAGTGCAGATTCCTCAAACAGCCGTTAAAATTCGGTGTAGTTGGTGCTCCGTCCAGATTAGAAGACTCACTCGTATCGAGGCCTGCCACGTAGAGGAATGAATCCAGATCAAGACGAACGAAAGAGCCTGGTGTGGTTGTTTGGGTTCTAACTTTATCAACAGCGACAACAAGTGTTCGTTTATTACGATCCACTTGAACCTCATGCCATTTGTTATCCGCTAAGTTGTTTCCGACAAGTACTGAGTGTTCTCCTGATACGGTAGAACTTCCGAGATTGATGGTAAACCTGACGGAAGGATCATAAGTACAAGTTATTCCAAGCGTCTTAACGAGAAGTCGCCATCTCAGAAATTGCTTGGTCTGTTTTTGTTTTAAAGTTAACCTAGTTTTTTTTCGGGATCCAAGAGTTAGCCAAATGGATACGATTCGAGGAAGTTAATACTCTGTTGTGTCCTTGGCCAAGATGCCATGTTATTCTCACAAATAGTTTTCTCTCCAGCAAATTGATCCAGAAGCAGACTAATGATTTTGACAACTAAGGATTTGTAATTTTGGCTGTTATCAGTGAGTGACATCCTAAATAGTATATCAATTAAACCAGTTGGCTTTTCGGCAAGATAATGTAAAAAAAAAAAAAAAACAAAGAAAACCAAAGAGACAGAACTGCAATAACGAAATTCTTGGACGAGGATTCACTAGTTTGGCCTGTTCAATTAAAAAGTTCAATTCAATAATGATAATGATAATAATGATAATTATAACAATAATGTCATCACTTCCATAGCGCGTGTACATTGCTCTTCTAGGCGTTTTACAATCCGGCATTTTCAAACATTTAAACCTTGTACTCAAATTCAATTGCAAATAACTGCTTCTATTATCTATCACTAAGATAAAAGTTGAAAAATTTGTTCGATGTTCATTGTTCTTCAAGATTTTTTTAAATCTGACTAGGCTAAGAAAGTTGATTATCTTACTTTTCCTGCGGATGTTTTAAAAAGCTTTGTTTATTCTGTAATGTAGACACATTCATGGCGAGATAAAATGGATACAGCTTTGTCAGTCCTTACAGAAGATGTGCATATAGAGAAACACTTTTCAGGCAAAAAAGATGAAACCTTCAGAGGGAGGATTTTCGATCATGAGACTTTTTGGGCAACATCGGAAACAATCACGAGGAAAGAAAGTCACATCGAGGTGCCACTTGAAAGCTTCCTCAATTATTTTCCGGCAAAGAAGTAGAACTAGCTTTCAAACATTTGAAACAGGTGTGAAAGAACAAACAACGGAATATAATCTGCACTTAGGTCACGAGAGCGGAGAGTTGAAAGTGTCCGGAGAACTTACTTTAATTCCATAAAAAGAATAATGTGAAGTTCACTTTAAAAGTTTTGTCTATATGGGCGGTTCTTCCTCACTTGATTATTCCATTCAGGTTCAGAAAAACACCGTCAGTTACGACGACCCTAATTAAATTATATCACTGCTTTACGAGCACGTAAAGCAATTAAGATTAAAAATTATGAGCTTCTTAATTAAGTGGTTGTTTACAAACCACGCTTTAAATGATTAATTGTAGTAAATTACTGATAATTTTGTTTTATTGACGCGCACATCATCGCAAAACCAAAAGGAAAAAAGAAAAAAAAAAAAAGGAACAGGACAACCGAAGTCCTTGTTTATCCGTCATAACAACGGAGACCGGCAAAGTAAAACACCATTGGAAATGAAGTTTTTTTTCTCAGTTACTCTCATAACTGTCGAGTATTTCCATAGTCTCACGATATAATTATTATTTTAGAGCTGGGAAGGAATACCGTTTATTTAGCAGAAGAGAAACTTTCGTAGGGCGGTCGTAATAGAGAAACCTAGGTCGTTTACAAACCAAACTGCCGAGAATTCGTTTGTGGGCCAGGCCAATTACTTGTTCCATGTATGACACTTTAACGTTCATCATACTACTGAGGTCATCAATGACAAAAGCGTCCTGTGCGTTTGAACTTAGCGCGGCAATCAAATGAAGTCACGATCGTGGTACATCTACAGTGAACAGATACGACCTTGAAGGCCTTTGCTTTCACCAGCGGTCAGATTCTCCACAAATTGACGTGAATATCGAAATAAAATGCGAGGAAGACATCAAAACGAGGTCAATTAAACAAAGGAGGTCAGGTAGTTATAGCGACTTCAATTATCCTCGTTACTCTGCGTGGAGCAGTCTTAGACATAATAATGATAATGATATAAACCAACAACCGTTGTTGATTAGAACCGATTCTAATCAACAAAGCAATTATTGTCGGTTGTGTTCTGTTTCTCGAGAAAGCCGAACGTTGCATAGTTTGCAGAAGAATTCTTTTAGAGTGTTGTTGCGAAATTTTTTTTTATTAAAAATTTCTTACGCTATTTGTCGCTTTTTCTGTCTTTTAAGTCTTTTCAACTTTCTCATATTACCTCTAGTATGGGGCCCCGCTCGTTCGCAGTTCGGGGGAGGCCCGCTATAACCTAAAACTACTATTTGAATGGCTTTTCTTTGATACTCTGACGGCGAAAGGAAAGAAAATATCATTTCTTTTATTCAGGGTTCTTTCATCCAGTTTCATTTTTAATATCTGCAATTTGTTTAATTAAGAACCTCTTGTGATACTATCTTAAAAATTTCTTACAGTAGTTTCAACTGACGCTCTGAACGGAATGATGATGATCAACAAACCTCGTTATCGCCGGTAACAATACAAAAGCGACGTGTTCATTCACAATCAAGCAGGCAGCTGAAATATATAAAAGAAAACTTAAAGTTTTTTTTTGTGTTAAGGGGATCTTCCGACGGGATGGTTTAGTTGGACTCGTCTAACGCAATTTCCATCAGCTTGCGTTAAATTCAACCACCCCATCTTAAATTTTCCTTTGTTTTGCCATCAATACAGTCACGGAGGTAATTGCATGGAAAGAGTTCTAAGTAGATTTTAGTTGTACTTGTGGACCCAGTTGTTTTAGAAAATACCAGTATAGCGTTCTTCGGTTTCCCAAGTAAGGGTTTCCCTTTCCACGAAAAAAGCTGAAGAGATATGAGATAACCATCCTTAAAGTTGCAAAGTCTGCCGTGTGTCTGGGAAGGGATGTGTTATCAAAGACAACCGAGCTGTTGAAATATTTTTCTGTAGCCTTGAAAATTCTCCATCTGTTTAATTTAGTGGTTCTGTTCCTAACATTACCTCTGACGTTCATGATTGAAGAAAGAATAAAATTCACAACACATCTCGATCCATCGTCACTGTCTCGACGAGCACTATTGCGATAATTGGGCACGGTCCTCTGTGGCAATCATTCCTAGATCTATCTCTATTTCAGTCATAACTTATTGTCCATGAAAAAGATCTCTTAAATTTGGAGAGGTTCTTTCAAAAGAGGAATTTTTTTGTCTGTGTCTCCTGATACAGGTGACTAAAACCAAAACGTTACAAAAAATACTCATTGTGTTATTTAGCAGGTAAACAAAGAGTGCTAAGAGTATTTTAACTGGGTTTTTGTGCAGGCTTCTTTACAAATACGCGATTTGCATATATAGAGAACATTAATTCAAAATGAAAAGAAAAAAGTCCCGATTTTAGTTCAAAAAGGATGATCAAGAACAAATAAGATTTTTTTTCCTGCTCAAATCTTCAAATTCTAACGATGAGATTTATTTCACGTTTTAATCACTCTGCTACCACCTGGGAATTGCAAAACAATTTTTAGAGAAAAAACTTTTTTCCTGCATGTGCTCTCTGTGGAAACTGTTATCTGGGTTTCATAGCAGTCATTCATTTTAAGAAATCACCATTGAAAATTTTTTGACGACACTGCCAACGGTTGTTTTCATGAACGGAACTTGTGAAACATTCTCAGATTTGTTAAATGCGATAGACTCCATGTTTAATTGAATAAGTTATTCTATCCACTATAGTAATCTAACAAGGTTTCCTCGACAGCCGAGTGATATTCAATTTAGCCAAAGAAAGCGTCATGGACCGTCCTTATAGGTTAAGTTGAATTCTTGGCCAACTTCGAAGTTACGTGAGAAAACACAAAAGCGTGTGACTATTTGCCGATGACCAAGAATCAATTCGCATCTCTTAGTCACTAAGTGAAATAGAAGGCTTGATATGCGCCTAGATAACAATACATTATCAACGATTCTGTGAGGCCTATTAGAAACGCTGAGCTATTGATAAACTACTTTTGTTCAAATTGAAAACATTTCACTTCTTTAGTTGACTAATTTTCACCTCTTTTCAAAGCAATTAAAACATGATATACAAGTTTTCTGGTCTTTGTTTACCTGGCTTAACGCCACAAACTTTTGACAAACTTCCCTGAAGTTGGCAGAAAACTATTTTCAAAGGAGTAGCAACCTTTCGACGCAGCTTTTGCGTTAACTATTGTCTAGCCTTAATTTCAGAACAAAATATGCTCATTTGCGGACATATTCGTTTCTAACAATGTTTAGTTTAAGAGCTTTTTTATTCTTGGGCGTAAACTATGCCTCGATGTTTTAAACATCGTTTTCGATTATATCGAATATTGCCAATTTTTTCGAATTTAACAATAACTGAAAATCAACTATTCCTACCTCAATTGTCCATGAATGAGCTCGATAGATATAAAATCTCCCTGAGATCCGCTGCTGTAAAGCATTAATCCAGAAGGACGGAACGTCTTAAACGAAAATGTGATATGATTCGTTAGGGTTGCGACGATATTTGAACGAAAATCATGGGTAATGTAGCCTGTTCCTTCCATGTTTACTTCAGTTGCCGAAGAAAAGTAAAATTTCATGAAGATGAACGCAACAAATATCGCGAACCCCCGACTCGAAGTCATGTCGATTTCGGTGTTAGAGTCTCGACTCGTGATACACACTAAAGCTTGTCACATTTGGTCGCCTCTCACAGCATTCGCTTATCAGAGAACTGTATATTTTACGAAAGCAAAACACCATTTGTTTCTACAAGCTCTCTTTGGCTAATTAGCGGTGGAACGGCGCTAATAAGCGATAAATAGCACAATGGAACACAAAGCAACAATTGGATCCCCAGGCGATTGGAAGATACTGATAAATTGAGTTAATACAACGCGCTGTTATCCAATCGGAACCACTCTTGTGGGTTTTGTCGAACAAACCAAACCAAGGTATCAATCTCAGTTTAAAACTGCGGTTGAAGACTCTGTAATGATCGGTTTTTAGCCTTATATTCTCCATACAGAGCTATCTCACTAACTTCTTTGGTTGATATATCGCTTTCTATGGCTAGTCAAAGGACGAAATTTATTTCAAGTTTGTGCTCGAATGCGCGTGAAAAAAAGTCTTGCTTGACAAGCGCGTAACTATTCTATTTATTTATACTTCGAAACTAAAGCATTCCCACCTGCTAGGCAAGTTATTAAATTTGCTTAATTTTTTCACAGAGAAGAAAAAACAAGATTTCCCTCAGTTAATTTCATGACTCAAAAAAAACAAGTGAAATTAATTTTTAAAATGCGTCACTTGGAAAAATACTTCCGTTAAGGACGATTTCCAAATTGTTCTTCTATTTAAGAAAATATGCTTGCTCTCGAAGAGAAGAATTAAATTGAAGAGAACACAGAAAATAATTAAGGCTTAAGATAGCGAGCCATCACAAAAACTTGTACGTGGAACCTCCATATAAATAAATAAATGAGATCGGCTCGTCAAAACGTTTTCTCTTTAATTTCACGCACGGAAACCAAGGCGTAATAAAGAAAACGGCCCAATAACTATGATTACGCGCAAGTGTTTGTAGTTTGGACTCACGGCTAATAATCAGTAATTGCAATAAACCATGTATTGACTCAAAAAAAACTTTTTTTAGTTGCATTCGTGGATTTATTTAGTCCGATCAGTTTGTGATTCTTAGCTTTCGAAGCAGAAACAGTTAACTGGAGAAAACACCAAATTGATATGAGTTTATACTTCTGGTTTAATATTTCATGAAATCAGCATGATTTATCCTAATCTTATTTCTTGACGCCAAGATTTGTTCTAGTTTTAGAGAGCTACGTGATGGAGATAAACGGTTCTGATTTCTTGCTAACCGAATAGTAACCCTCGGTGTGACGTAGAAGTAGATCTCCATCGTAAAGTGAACGGGAGTTCATGGGAAAACAGATTTTTTTATTAAAAGAACTACTCACGAATCATTACTAACAAAGGCGCTAACACGTGTTCACTTGATTATGTTTAACTTAGCAATCCGTGAAGCAAAGGATGACGAGAGAAATCGGTTAATTAACAATTGGTTCATGCTTTAGCGTGCACTATCGAGTTATGGAGCAGGCGGGAAGTTTGGAGAGCACAAAAGAAGCGTAAGAGTTGCCCGAGGCAACAGGCGAGGGAAACTCCAGCTTCTTGAGTGCTCTCCAAACTTCCCACGTGCTCCATAACTCGATAGTGTACAGCTGAAAGCATGAACCAATTGTTTTAGGACATAGCCGGTGGAATTGTGCATGAAATCCGACGCGAAAAATGGACAATATCAATTGAAGCGAATCGTGACGGCCCTGATGCTGTGTCTTCTTTTCCGTTGCTTTTCTCTTTTTCTGCCTCATTTAAGAACTCTAGCCCAAGGGAAAAGGTCGGAAAATTGTCTTCGTTTTGGGACTAGTAGGTCGAGCCTCTGTATCCATTATTGTCACGAAATGTATTATTTTTCCCCGCGCTAACAATGGCCGCTCGCGCGAAAAAAAAAATTTTTGGCGAAGCGATTTGCTCACGCCATCAGCGTGCACTATCGGGATTTTGAGCACGCTTTTACGTACTGGATTTGATTGCGGGGGTCTGCTATGCTTTAATGTAATTTGGCTTAGACAACCAAACTGTGTCTATTCCATATTTTGTTTCTAGGCCAAATTGGAATTTGTGTTATTTTGTTGAAGGTGTAAAACCGAAAAAACCCAAAGAAAAAGTTTTTCTGGACGAGAACAAATATCAAACTCAACTTCAACTTTGAGAATAAAAAATAATAGCGTCCAATAGTATGCGAAGTAAATTTTGGGAGTGTTCGGCGTGAGCAATTTGAAAACGAACTAAATATGATGTTTCATTACCGAACCACTTCTTGCTATCGCTTTTTTTTTTAAAAAATGTAGACCATAAACAGTCACAAGGACATAACGTTGTCTAGGAGTAAAACAATGGGTCACATTTTCTGTAATGAATTTTAATAACATCTATTTCCTGAACAACTCAAAATAAGCAAAGCATGTAGACCCATTACCACGGTTTTACTGGCTGTCTCAAAGTGCAACTTAAGAAATTGCTTAGAAACATCTCTCCAAAAGCCTAGCAGTGGAGAAATTTCATCGAAGGGCTACGGGGTTATTACAATAGAAATTTGGGCGAAGTACAAAACAGATCTTGTTCGTTCAACGATGAAATGGCGCGCTAAGGCTTTACGCAGTTTTATGCTATTGCTCAGCGAGAGGGGTGTGCGGAATTGCAGGACTACTTTCGGTCTCCCTTCCCCTCCCCCTGTCGTATTAGTGCTCTTCTAACCGCCTGCGGAGAAATCATCAGTCCAAAAACATCACACACGAAATACCAATTGAGCAGTTTTATCAAAAAGTATAGCTGTATTAAGTACATTTCCAGTTGAGGATAGCTCAATTTTTTTTCCTCGAATCATCAAGGTGCCAATCAGTCAGAACCGCATAGTATTCGCAAATACAAAAATAGCTCCGTACATTATGGGTGAAATTTCCAGTCTGAAGGGGACAAAATGGCCGTTAGTTAAAAAAAAATACTTCGGGATTCAAAGATGGCATTCATAGCCACTTAGCCACCCCAAGTATTCTAATTTCAAAAAGCATCAGTAGTTAGAAAATTGTACAATTGTCTATCCGTTGAGTTTCCAAAAATAGCCTGGTAGAATATGTGTACAAAATCTCTGTGATTTTCCGGGATCTTCCATAAATATTAAGTTCTATCTCTGATTACGATAAACATCTCTTAAAGTATAATTTCATAAATATCCATGTACTTATTCTCTGCTTATAAGAAGCATGTAGCAGTTATAATTGTTCCCCATAAATTCGATATCATCTTGTTTCCCTCCATTCTAGAAAATGTATTTGAAAATTCCTCGTTATGATCTTCAACTTTGAATTATAACAGGAAAGATTTGACAATCTTTTAGTCGTCGGAAAGTATCCAATTAATCATACTTTACTTTACCGTTATTTCTTCGTTTCTGTTCCATACCCATTAATTGTATTTCCCAACCTGACTTAACTAATTTACTGAGATCATTTCTGGCTGTCATAAATTATATGCTGCAATGAGCATAAAATGCTATGCCCAAATCTCTCCTTCAGCGTTTTCCCTTTACGAACTTTCACAATGGAAAAGCACTTTAAATGGTGCTCTTCAGCAAAAAATAAAATAACAAATACTTGTGTCGTGTGCTTCTTGTAGAATGCGAGTTAAAACCAAATTAACAGACAAAAGGGAAATTGGAATTGGTATGAAACCTACGATTGTGAAAGGAGTTCGAGAGTGAACCTCTGTCGACTGGTTTCCAATGTAAGTTGAAATTCAACCGAAGTGTGAGTTCTTTCTAAGCTTTTGCCTTTCTACGTGTCACTAATTACGTTTGTATTTCGTCCATTTAATGAGCGTCTGTGGTGACCGGTACAGAAACATGAGCTTGGCAAACAAATCCTCTTCTAACTTAAGTTCTTTGCTTTCCCGTACCATGAAGATATCCAGGCACAACTTGAGAACTTTATCTACGTTTGGCATCTCGTCAAACATGATACGGTACGAAATGGAAGTAAAAAAAAGACGGACAAACTTGCCAACCAACCAAACGAAACCCACATAAAGTCCGATTATCCTGAAGAATAAGAGCGAAAAGACAAAATGATCAAAATTAAGAATAATTCAGCAGTGGCGCATCGAAAAGGATGGCTCCCTGTCCAAAGTTTCCAGGTCAAATTGGTTTTCAAATGGTAAGATCCAGAGAAAAAATCTTACAGCAATAACAGAAATCAATAACAAACTCAACCCGCATATAATGTCGGGAGTCGTCCCAGGCTAGGGCAGTGGGAGGCGAGGCCTCACCACTACACCATCATGGTTCCCTGCTTCCGAACAAACAGAGGAAGTACATATGATTCTTTCAAATGACAGTTGAATCCGGGATCAACATATTAGCGACAAAACGCTTGAAATCACAGAACATATTTGACCATATCAACAGGCTTCCGTGTTCTCTTTAACCCAACAGGCAATAGAAAAGGATACTATGACACCTCGCCTCTCCCTTCTCACCCCTTCATTTAAATGTTCCAATCAACTACGAAAGTTAGGAAATATATGGCAGACATAGCGAGGAATTCATATTAGAATCTTGAGAGTGAAAGAGGAAACTCAATAATAAAAGATCTTACCCAGTGCTTGTGAAGAATGAGAAGTGCAGCGGCGGCACTAAGTCGTTGAATGTGATCATTTCCAGCACATTGTCTTTGGCACCGAACAGGGGATTGGGACTCTTCTGTGTCAGTTCCCACCAATCAAACATACCCTTAGATCGCATACGCAGACGGCACGTCACGAAGTTAGCTCTGTCGTTATTTAAGACCGCAGTAACCGAGCCGCTGGCGGGGACGCGTACGAAGCTTGGGAACAAGTCCTTAATCAACCTTGAAAATAAAACACAAAAATTAAATCACAAAATGATTAGAATTGGTGGAAATAAGTTGATGTTTTGCAGACCAACGAGTTGTTATATTTGGTTTTGTTGTTGTTTTTTAGTATGTGCTAGTGGAAAAGCAGTTAACAGAACTTGGAAACATTGATAACACAAGCGCTTCGGTAAATTCAAAAGCCCGTTACAACTGGAATAGGAGTTGACTCATTACTTCTTCGTTATGGTGTTAGTTGGGAATATCATTAATCTTCGCTTTTATTTTTGAGCTCACTTTTCTGTCAATTAACATTGAGATTGCAACGTAAGATAAAAAAAAGGAATATTAATAAGGAGCCAACTAAAAAAAAATCACTGTAAAGATATTCAACATCAAAATACAGCAGGTTTACTCACACGTCATCTTTGGTTGAGTTCCCTTCCAACATAGCAGCCAGTTGACTTTTAGTGGATTTGTCGAGGAGAACCTGGGTCACACCGGATATGGTCTCCTGGGCAAGGGCCGTTTTAGGCTCTCTGATGACAAATGAGGTAAGAAGCTAAAGTGACACACCATTAAACCAGCATAGAACGAAATGAACAGTGGGGCGGAATGAATGAACAGCTTTAATAAGAGAAAGATAAGTTTACCATATTCTCTCTCTAATTGTAATTGAAATTAAAAATCTTTATGATTTATTATTCTTCAAAGCAGAAAAGACAGGAGACGGGGTTCTCAAACAGGGGTTATAGAGGAGGTAATAAGTGGAATGAATCTAATTGCCAGCCGTAACAGCAGGTTCTCGCTGGCGCTGCTATACGAGCGGCAAAGAAATGACAAACGAGCCAGCAAGGAGCTCCTAGCTCACCGGCTTGTTTCTAGTGGCTTCGCCGCTCGTAAAACAGAAAACCTCCTCGCAGAATAAGGGAAGATGCGAGAGTGGTCACAGGGAGCCCAGCTCTCACCTTGTGAACTCATAACTAAAGCGTATTGTAACGTTGTTGTCTGCCAGGTACTTGGTCATTAGGTCACGTGACGGCGGACTGATGGTCCATATGGAGCTAGAATTACCCACGATCTTCACTTGAACCACTGTGCCTCTCCCTTTAAAACTTTGGAAGAATGTCTCCAGCTATGAGAGAAACATACGAGGTTAGCAAATCGTTCCTAAGGCTATGTGAACGTCCACAAAAAAGGCTGATAAGCAGGAGGCTGTAGTTGTATATCCCTCCACCACCTTGAGAACTCCTATCAAAAGCCTTCCCGCATGAGCCATTTAGAGGCTGGAATGACATATTCGTGTTTTGATAAGCACCGTCTTCACTCGAAGTGCAAACTACGACCAGTTGCAAAAATATTTAGACAACTTGAGCAAAAAGAGAATTTAACGACTTCATCGGATGGCGATGGCCAGGGAGAAATTAGGAGCCAAAAAACTTAAAGCTACCCTTTTTTCCCCAGTCAAAGTTGTTCATGGAAGTTTTGTATAAGGTACTGCTTAGCTTGCAACAATGCAAAGGGGGAATAGGGGGATACATTATGTTAGATCACATTGTGAACAATTTTCACTTGTGGTAGTAATATGTCTCAACTACTTTTGCATCTGGTTGTAGGTTCAGAGATCGCTAAATGGACTCGAGAGAAAATTAAACAAATTTTCTTATGGACGTTCGCATCACGGCTGCTTCTCAAAAATCCCTTTGGCTAGATAAACCAAATCTCTCGAAATACTGAACTAACACTGGGGTATCTGCTTTACAAGGATATGATTATCATTCACGACTGAAGGGGACTTCAGCAATTATTGTAAAGGCAAAGTTAAGTTAGCACCTCAGTTTCAGAATATCCTCCTGGACGATCGGCCTTTATCTTGTCGATTTCCTTGTCAGACAACACGTTCAAAGATTTCTCTTGCGCGCTCACTTTGAATAAGGGCTGCGGAAAGAAAGGTTAACATAAAAACCTCAAATGAAGTACTGAACCTTGACTTGGACAGAAAATACTAATTCACCCGAAGATCAGCTCTCTCCTTAATTCAAGAGCAAGCCCTCATTATCAACCTTACGGCACGAGTGTTTGGAAGTTTGAGGCCTGAAGAAAAGCGAACCAGCAAGATGTCTGGAGGGGATTTGGCATCTGATTCCAGATACTATTAGATCGTCGCCGGCTGGCGTTGTGTTCATGGTAAGCTGAAATGAATTCACGTTACTTTGGGAATTAATTAATTCAGGATTACTCCTGGGAAATTAAGTCAACCTACGGCTAAGTATGCACAGACCTGGTATCCTCCGATAGACAGTGTGAACGTGGCGTCCTGAGGCAGGTTACTTGTGTATACAGAATTGATGTAGGACATGAACAAAAGAGGGAACCATATTACGATCACCAAGAGAGCCACCAGGAGTCCACCTAAGCCCCATTTGCTAATGGTCCAATACTTTTGGCCCCTAGCTTGAAACCATGTCTAAACAACAATGAAAAGGAACGGATTAACCTGTATACAGTTCTCTATTCCTGGATCAAGTTTACTTCAAAAGCTAGTCATTCAAAAACTCCAGGGGACTGCTACTGGAAAAACTACTCTCACCTTCTCGGATTCTCTGTAACACTTCAAGACATAAATGTTAGCATAAATATCCTCCATTTTGAGCCAGTGATACAAGGTCAGCGTGGTATCTGTACAAACCCAGTCCAAAACACTACGCAACTCCAGAAGGAAGGGAATGGCCTGGAAACTAATACCAAAACAGGTGATATAACCCAATCTTAAAATAATTTCGTAACAGATCATTAAGCAACATTTTGGGTGATAAATTTCGACCCAAGAAATACTCTTTTCAACAACAAACAGACTTACCCCTGGAAAAGAATTCCGCTAGTCAAGGTATAACTCTTTGTCAAAAAATTACCCAGAATCCTGGTTGGGTAACCGCAACGCACTTGATAGGCAGACAGGCCAAAGTACATACACATGAAGATGTACATGAAGATTGCTGGAATGTTCTCGATAAAACGCCTTGAGAGAGTACAAAACATGTACCGTACAATTATTTCTGATTTTGATGATTTTCTCAAAATGTACTTCAACCACCTTTACAAATTATAGCAACAACATAAGACGTCGAAAAACGTTGCGACTAAAGCTTGGGCAATACTAAATCTGATACCATATGTGACGATTCAAACAGAAGCCTTCTCGGGTTTCTCTGAAGAATTCTCTACTCACCGAAATCCAAGGAAGTCGTTAGCGAACTACCGTACATTGTAGTTGATGTATTCGATTTACATTTAACAAGTCCTTACGAAAACGATATGATCAGCAACTACGAAACATTTCTGTGAGCTATGACTAAGACGAAATATTTCGCACTCCGTCGTCGAATGAAGATATTTATTTTCTTTCCTTACATACCTCTGCGTAACAAGCGGCACGATGAAAAACATGAACAAGTGGAATGAAATCACCAAGGAAACATTGAATATCAGCTTTGCAATCACAAACTTCCGTAGATACAAATATCTGCCATGAAAAATTAACAGAAAATGTTAAAGCGTACGCCACTTGCACAAACAACAATGTCAAAGAGTTGCACAGTAAGCACTTGCAGTCCAGAAAATCAGACTTACCTGTCAATGACAATGAGGAAAAACTGTGATAACAACATGTAAAGAAAGGTTTTCGGCACCTACAAAAAATTTCAGTGAAATATTAATTCGATAATGTCTGAGAAACAAATCGTCCAACCGTTTTCATTCAACGACACAGTCTTCAAAGTGGAAAAATTACGAGAGCGCTGGCTAGATTGAGTGTTATCGAGAAGACTACGAGTGGACGACGTTAAATGACCAAGTACTGTCTGTAACAGTCCTCTTTTGAGCAATGGAATACGCATACTCGATAAGAAAGGAGGATCATCCTTTCTCATCTACCAGGTATTCAGGACCAACACAGCCTTCATTTTTTTAATTTCTCCGTATTTGGGTGGGGATTGACGTCTTCAACACTTCTTCAAATTCATCTGCATTTGTAATTTCAGCATGAGCCTGCTGAAATTACTCTTCGTGATTTGGTATCTAAGCTAACAAGAAAAACGAGAACACAACTTACCACATTTTGTTCGATTATCTGCATGAATTGCGCTTGCGGTTTCGGCTACAAACACAAGAGAAGAAAGAAGAATAGTGAACAAAAATACATTAAGGACAACTGACTCATATTCATTTCTCGTTAATTCTCGATTTAAGTCTTAAGACTGCTACGTGAGTTTTAACTCATATTATTTCTTTTCCCGAAGAGTAATACCACAGAGCAATCAATAAGAAAAGAGCAAATCTTGTACTAAAAGATATTCCATTTTTAATCGATAGAAGACGCACATTTGGCGGGTATAAAGTTACGTGGATTGACAGAAAATGCCCGTTTAGAGGAAAAAAAGTTTCCTTTACATGTCAATTAACATCACACATCCCGGTAAGCAGACACGGTCATTGTCAAGGGAAATCATACGAACTTTTAAAACACTCAAGAGTAATCAAGTTTCGGTGTTCTGAACGCACCGCTACTCGACGCAATATCAATCATGTTTTCGCGTTTTTGTAAATTAAAATCGGTAGCAACTGATGTGTTTTACTAGTTGCAAATTTCCATATCAAAATGTAACTTGCACTCCTTCAAGCAGTCCCTTTCTGAAGCTGTTCTCGAAAGCAATTAGCACCAGTTATAGACGTTGACTTTGCGTCCAGACTTTTTCTAATCATGAGGTATTGAAATGTTCCGCACTCTTCACTGACTACCTACGGTCTTGTTGTAAGCGTTATTCATAATCCAAGCTGATACTGATGCAAATAATTCTCAGAAATTCCTTACCTCAGGAGAGGAGAAAGCTGACCAACTGAACACAATTATGATGAAGATAATAAACTGACACGCGAACATCATAGCATAAACATCCACAGCACCGGAGCCAACTTCAGGATCATAAATACGACGCAGAAAAGTAACCACAGGATGGCATAATCCGCTGAAGAAAGAATAAAATTGACAAACGTATGAAGATAGACAAATCTGCCATAGTTGAATCTGAAGTTAACAAAAATGTCACGAGTTAAATTTACCATTCTTGCTTGCTATGTCTCCCTTCACCATCCGTCGCATTGGTCGTCTTAAAGAGAAACTAGATTAGTATCTTACTTGTTTTACGTATTATGTTTTCTCTACTGATGAATAAAGGAAGGTGAAATCAGCGTTTGAACCTACAGACACATTACGCCGGTTTGTCTCAAATATCTGTAGACGAAAATGACGGTATAACCTTATTTTTATCGCGAGAATCCCTCTGTGAGGACGGTTAGTTTGAATATATTTCCCTCCCTCGTTAGCGGTGGTAGTGTCGATTTCCCAATATTCTTACGCAGGTGAACAATACAAGAGCGACACTTAAAACAAACCTGCGAATGCTGAGTTGATATGCTGCTCTCGATGGAAGATGATCTGTCCAGCACAATAGAGCCAGAATTTACATTACTCAATGGACCTAGTAAAATAATGACGAAAAAATTACTATTAACCGTGCACTTCAAACTTCTAGTTTCTGGCTCCAAACGTTGGCGCTCTGGAGGCGAAGAATGAAAAAATTTAGTGGTAACGTTCTCTCAGCCTCGCCTCTCATTTTAGCGGCTATATCACTCAAAACTTTTACAAACCCACTAGTTGCAAATACCTGGTGATATGGGTGACATTGGCGGCTCATCGGTATCCTCGCCTTCTTCTCGATTCGCTTTGTCTCTCCACAAACCGTGAACCTAAATTCGAACATGCAAATATTAAGGCTGTCACGGTTGGTTGAGAATTGAAAGGCTGTCACTCATAATAAATATGAGGTATACTGCAAACGGTTGATGCCTCGGCCTCCGACGTAGTTTAATATCTGGTGATTATTCCTTTCAGTCAATTTTTATTAGTTCGATAGCTCAACAACACAGTTATTTTATGGTGTTTTTGTAATCCACCTGTTCTTTAAAATACGAGAAATCTTTCGGTGAAGCTGATCTGCAATTAGGATCTCCTTTTATCTAAAGCTGGATTATAATAACTTGTAAATTTGTGTTATCAAATTTAATTGAACAAGCTTGCTTTATATCTCCCAAGTAGATGTTGATGACGTCTGCGCCTTCAGCAACCCTTAGACACCTCTCGTGCCCTTCAAACTTCCCCCGTACTTCACATCTCGATGAACGTACAGAGACGCATTCGCCAATTCTTAACTTGGTGGAAGTTTTACTGGTCCACCAGGAAACCAAATGAGAGAAACAGAGTCACTGAATGCATTTAAGGGTGGCCAGTCTGAAATTATATAGTTATTTATGACTTTTCTCTTGCATTTACCACTGTTTGATTTGTTTTGTTTTGTTTCGTTTTGTTTTGCTTTGCTTTGTTTTGTTAGTTTCTTAATTTGAGGACCCT